TGCGGTAAATATTTTAGAATTGATAAAAGAAATTTAAAAATCAAAATATATATTACCAAGTCCAGATGAATAATTCCGTTGAATGTAAATGGTTCAATCCATTGGCAATCTCCTTTGCAATTTTAATGAGCTCAACCCATGAAATTTTATAAGAACCATCATTTTGTTTTGCCTGTAAATACTCCCGTAAATTTCCACTATTTGCATATTGTAGAACCATCATGAAGTTGCCCATTTTTAGATCTAAATATTATTAATGTAAATAAGCGAATGAACACTAGTTTTTAATATTAATTAAATGCTATAAAATACCTCTCAAAATTCCATAAAATTTGACAATATTAGGATGATCAATGTCATAAAAATCTTGAAGCTACATATAATTATTTCATTTATTAGATTTAAACTAGAATCAAACATAAAATAACTGATATTTAATTACGGACTACTCTAGTATAGGCCACACCATTAATAAGATTTACTAATAATCAATTGATTAAAATAAGTATGGCTTATACTAAATTTGGATCATAAACTACCTCACGTATGAATTCTTCAATAATTTCATCATCAACACGCAGGTTATTATTCAGACTTTTTTAATGTATAATATTTTCCTTCAAAAATTGCTGAGCATGCTATTGCACTTCTCCCACTTCCAATAAATTTGTGGTTGCTAAATTGCGAAGAATCATAGCTTCTTATATTACATTCTATCATACATCTTACTAACTTTTCTGAATATTCGGATACTAATTTCAAAAATATTTACGCCATTAATAGATTGATACTAATTTAAGTTATTACAATACTTACATATTTTTATTGATGAACTAGATTTCCCAGTATCGTCATAGAGTCTTGCTGGAGTTGCATTTTGTTGTATGTATTCTGGTCTTACATCATTTTGCTGTATAATATTTGATTGTATTCCGAAATTCACTGTAAAGTCGTTATGTGTTGGCATATTATAAGGCAGTTGTATACATGTTCGCATTGAGTATGGTAGCTGCTGTATATTTTGTGCCAGTTGCATAGGTTGTTGTATCATTGTAAGAGGTTGTTGTATAGTAGGCTGTTGTATATTTTGTGCCAGTTGCATAGATTGTTGTATCATTGTAAGAGGTTGTTGTGTAGTAGGCTGCGACCGTCGTATAGCAGGCCATTGCGAAGTATCATTCATGATCGTTGGATAGTAGATATTTAGTATAAAATAGGGGGAAAAGTTGTTTCTTATGAGCGGAGCTTTAAAATCGGCGTGTTACATAGAGGATAAAGTTATGTGTTCCTTATATATGAGCCGAACATTTGATGGTACGTTACATAAGGAATTTAGAAAGAATATTCCAACTATGATGATTTCAATACATATGCCGTAGAAGCACTATAGAAAAATCTATAAAAAAAATAATATTAGTAATTAGGCAAAGAAAAACAAAGAGAAAAAAATGAAACAGAAAAAAAGAAAGTGAGAAAAAAAAAATAAATAAAACAGAAAAAAGAATGAGAATGAGAGAAAAGAAACGAAGGAAGAAACGAAATAAAAAGAAACAAAAAAAGAAACAAAAAAAAGAATGAAAGAGATAGAAAAAATAAGTGAAAGAAAATGAAGAGGATAAAAGGAATGAAATGAATACGAAGGAACAAAAGAAAAGGAAAGGAACAAAAGAAAAAAGGCAAGAGAAAAAGAAAAGGAGAAAAGAAAAAGGACGAAGAAAAAGGAATGAGAGAGGAGAAAAGAAATGAAAGAAAAGAAAAGGAACAAAAGATAAAGGGTAAAAAAAGGGATAAAAGAAAAGGAACGAAGAAAAAGGAATGAGAAAAAAGAAAGAAACGAAAGAAAAGAAAAGGGATAAAGGAAAAGAAAGAAACGAAGAAAAAAAAAGGGACGAAGGAAAAGAAACGGAACAAAGAAAAAGAAAAGGAACAAAGGAAAAGAAAAGGAACAAAGGAAAAGAAAAGGAACTAAGGAGAAAAAAGGATCGAAAAAAAGGAAAAGGAACGAAAGAAAAGGAACAAAGAAAAAAAAAAAATGAAGAAAAAGGAATGAAAAAAAAGAAAATGAACAAAAGAAAAGAAAAGGAACGAAGGAAAAAAAGTAAAGGAACGAAGGAAAAAAAAAGTAAAGGAACGAAGGAAAAAG